TCGAGGCTTTACGGGCAGAGGCAAAAGACGAGCCGTGCTTCCCACCCCTCCCTCTCCCTCTGTCCACGATGGAGACGCACGAGAAGGTTGAGATCGTGAAGCTGGCCAGCGGCCCGCAGAAGCCGGTCAGCGAGTACAAGCGTTTCGCCATCCTCGTTCTCGGATCGTTCGGCTGCATTGTGTGCTCCTTCAGCTATGCGTGGAACTTGGTGTCGGCGGATATGCAAGAGCGCTACCACTTCACTCAGCGTGATATGAGCACCATCGTGACGGTGGGCCTGGTGGTGCAGTACTGCGTGCTACCCTACGCCTTTCTCTTCGATTATCTCGGTCCTCTGCCCATTGTTATTCTGGCCACCATCTACTTCCCGCTCGGCACGCTGCTGCTTGCGCTGTGCTTTATGGGCAAGATCAACGGCAGCGTCGCCACGTTGAGCGTCTTCAACGCATTGATGTCGTGCGGGTGCTCGCTCTTCGATCTCGGGTGCTGTGTAACGGTGCTGTCCTACTTCCCCACCAACCGTGGCCCGGTGACGGCGCTGCTGAAGACCTTCACCGGACTCGGCTCTGCGCTTGTGGCCTGCCTGTACGCCGGTTACTTCCACTCCGATCCGGAGAAGCACTTCTTCTTCCTCTTCGCGCTGGCTCTCGTGGTTGGCGTTCTCTGCATGGTCTTTCTGCGGCTGCCGGAGTACCACCTGACGCAGTACCAGCTGTCGCACCTCCCCATCGAGGAGCGGCAGCGCCGCGAGAACACCAAGGCGCAGTACCTACGCCAGAAGCCTCCGATCTGGCGCTTTGTCTACGGCTTTGTGATTCTGATCGTCCTGATCGTATTCCTTCCCACGCAGAGTGCGCTGGCCAGCTACCGCCACCTCGACTCCTCCGCGAAGAGGGCGTTTGCCATTGTGACGACGATTCTGACGCTCCTGTACCTCGTCGTTGCGGCTCCGGTGCCTTTCTGGGACCCCAAGCTGGAGGACCCGGAGGAGGACTCGGAGGACCTGGATGCGGACGCGAACATCAGCCTCGCGCTGAAGATCGACTCGGGCAACAACGCGCGGAAGCAGCACGACACGAATGAGCCGCACTGCGAGAGGAGCGAGCCGGCGGGCAACGACGACAACATCCACAAAGGCAACAGCACGGTTACGGCGGAAGCGATGCTGGAGGAGGACGATTTGAAGGAGGGGGAGCTGGAGATCGACTACATCGCTCCTGCCTATCCGGGCAGCTTCATCCACAACCTTCGCACCCTGGAGCTGTGGGCGCTGTGGTGGACCATGTTCACCGTCGTGGGGTCCGAGTTCGTGATCATCTACAACGCCACCAACATTCTGGCGGCGCTGCAGGGCGAGGACCCTTCCTCTTCGCTCAGCACGCTGCTGACGGTGCTGAACGGTGTGGGCAGTGCGGTGGGTCGTCTGCTGATGTCGTACTTTGAGGTTCACACGCAGAAGCGCAAGGCGGAGGACCGCATCCCCATCACGATTTCCCTGTTCCTGCCGACGGGTTCGATCATCATTTCCCTCATCTTATTTCTTGTGCTGCCGGCTGCTGCGCTGCCGCTGCCGTACGTTGTCGCTGCCCTCGGCAACGGCTTCCTGGCCGGTGTGACCCTCCTGGTGTCACGCACCATCTTCGCGAAGGACCCTGCGAAGCACTACAACTTCTGCTTCACCGCCACCATGCTCGCCTCGCTTGTGTTCAATCGTTTCCTCTACGGTGAGTGGTACACGGTGCAGGCGGAGAAGCAGAACCACGCGAATCATCGCTGCTACGGCAAGCACTGCGTGCTGATGCCGCTGGTCGTACTGATGGCACTGGCCTGCACTGCTTTTGCGACGGACGCGGTGCTGCACCTGCGGTACCGTTCCTTCTGCCAGCGCACTCTGGCCGAGCGTGCCCGTCTGCACGAGCTCGCCCATCACAACCACGAAATGAACGAGGCGATCAACAGCCTTCATTCGGACACCACGCCTGCAGACGCTGACGGGGAGCCACGCGGCGAGGCGGTGCAGTCGAATTCACGTCCCTGATAGACAGGTGTCAGTGGTGTGCCCCCTATGCTGCTCTTCGTGGGTGAATCGATTACTTTGTCTTCTGAACAGCGCCACGGACCGCGAACGGCATCCGCAGCAGCAGCCGCAAACGGCTACGAATGGTTGAAGAGCTGCGCCGAAGGAGATGCCAGCACTCACGGCAGTTAAATGCGGATGACAACGGCTCCCCTCGGAAACAGAAAAGCAGTCACGGTTTCTTCCCCCCTCGCTTTGTTCGAGTCTCCAGGCTCTGATATATATGCTTTCTACCTCCCGTGTTCTTTTTTCCGTTAAAAGTATAAATAGCTTCCCTTCTCTTTCTCTGTAACTTCATTTACCTTTGTTTCTATAAAACGATGCTTTTGTAGGCCCACGATGATGATGAGCTGTTGTACACGTTTTTCTAAACGTGGATGCCTTTTCTTTTTCTGTTTTACCCTCATTCTCTTGTTTGCCTGCATTTCTTCAGTGATTTCAGACTGTCTCGATTCGGGTGTGGGTGATGACCTCATCTTCTTATTCTGTCCGCGTAAGTAGACATGAGCGTGTTTGTTTGATTGCCTGTGTGTGTGTTGTGTGGTCTGTTTACCGCGGACGCAAGCAGGATCGGCGCTTTCTAGCTGCGTGGACTCGAGAGGCCACCTGGCCGTCAAGATGTACGACGGCGCAGCTGCAGCACGACACACAAACACGTGGAATCGATTCGCGCAGGCACGCCAAAAAGCTCCCACCTGCGCAGCGGCGAAGCGCACAGCGAAGGATGAGCGACGAGAGCAATTCGGCGTGCGTGTATGACATGCGAGAGCTCTACTTCTACCGCTGCTGTTACGGGTCACACACACGGCAATATATATATTTTCTTTTTAGTTCTACCTACTGTAACTTCTCTTTTACGCTCCTATATATATACATCTTCTCTGACGAACTTTCTTCTTCTTTCCGGAGCGGCTGTACTGGTGGACCAGCAGACGTGCTTCTTTTCTCTCTGGCACCTGCTGCTGTGCCTGCCGTACTCCTGCGGTTCCATTAGCCAACACCTATTGTGCGTGCTATGAAACAGAATCAAGCACTGCTGTGATGGATCGCGGAACCCAAGACGGCCCAAGCGAAAGCTTCTCTATTTTTTCCTGATGTAGATTTGCCAAAAGGAGCGTTAAGGGCACGTGAAGGATGGAAGAGAAGCCTCCCTTTTTGTTTTAACTTGTCCGGTTCATGAGTATAGTGATATCAAACGCCGTATGGTATCCGACTTGTACTCATCGTTTCCGATGTTGTGTGTTTCAATGCGTTTATGTTTATTTACATCATTTTCGGCTCTCGGCTCTCTGCGTGGTGTCGACTCACCGGGACATCCGCGGATGCAGGGGGAAACGAGAGCGCGTCCGTGTTGGTGTTGTTTGGTGGACTCTTTACGTGCGTGAGAGCTGCAGCGAAACGAGCAAACAAAGTGGCTGGCTGGTAGCCGGCCTCCTGTCGTTGCCGATCGGCGTGCGGCCGTTCCCCATCGAGTATTGGTGCCCTGTTCCTTCCTGTAGAAGTGGGGAAAGGGCCGTTGTGTTATTGCGTGTGTCTTTTGCCGTGTTTCGCTGTGGGAGGCGCAAGTCGAGGCTGCATGGCGCATGCACACGGAAAACGGGAGGAGGGAAGTAAAGGTGTGCTCTGTGTAGGTGTTTTGTTTCTTTGCCACTGGTGGTGTCGTGCATGCAGTCTCGTATCTTCTCTGGTCGCGGATGCGTGTGGCGCGGCGCGGCAACTTTACCCACGTCGCCCTGCCGAGTTATGCACCGTCAACGGCTGTTCTCGTTTGGCCCCCTGCTGCTCTGCACGGTGCGTGGCGGAGGACCACTTTCGTTTTTTCTTCCTATTTCTCCGCTCTCCGCCACATTGACGTTGCCACTAGTCGTGCATATGTATGGGTGTGAATGTGTGTGCGTGTTTGCATAGGAGGCAGCGCAGCTTAACCTTTTCCGCGCAGTTGAGTTGTTTCTCGCGCTCTTCGGGTGCGTGTAAGCGAGCATGCGCGTGCGTGCGTTTGTGTGGGTGTAAGTCTGCCTCACGTACACGCGCCGATCCACCTACAGTACGAAAACAGTAACAGCGGAAGAAGAGAGAGAGCAGTGCCCCATTCGAAATGCGCTGATCGCCGTCAGAACAGGAAAGACAACACCTTTGTTTTTTCCCTTTTCTGTTAAACTTTGTGTTCTAATCCCAATAAGGTGGACTACTTTTGAGCCCAAGAAGCGCTCGGACGTTGTGTGGAGGAGAGGCGGGCTGGTTGTGGTGGTGTGGGAGGAAATGGTTGTATTCCGTAGATCCCTCACAAACCGACACACGCCGGACCAATTGTGGGAGCGTGCAACGTCTTCCGGCCAGTTCGCTTCTTGTGCATCCTGTTCCCCAGCTGTCGCGTGCTGTGCTGCATGCTCGTGTGTGCGTGCGGCTGCGTGATTGTCCTCTCCCGGTACCCGCCCCTCAGCACTTGTTTCTTTATACGCGAATTGCTGTACGTCGTTGCCGGCGTGGAGCTCGCCCTCACCGCCTCTTCTCTCCACTGCCGTCGGCTGGCTTCAGTCTTTTAATTGTTTTTACGCGCTCATTTCTCTTTAAAAGTGTCTTCAATTCGGTGTCACCGTGATCGAGACGGATGCGTCCACAAGGAGGTGCGCCAACTTCCTTATTTCTTTTTCCCGGGCTGCGCACCTCCGATCTCCGTTCTCAGCTTCACGCGGGACCTAATGCAATTTTTCTTTTTCGTTTCCGATTTTTTTTCATTGCTGTTGATTGTCGCGAATAACCAGCAGGGAAAGGAGGACGCTTCACTTTGTCTGCCGTACGGAGAAGACTCCGTGCGCAGCGAAGCGATGCTCGCAGAAGCGTCCGAGTAATATCCATCACATCTGTAATAATGACGGGCCTCTTTTGGAGTGCTTTTCTCCATGTTTTCTACAACAGATAACCATGTGGGTTTCTGTTTTGTTTTTCTCTCTCCCCCCTCTCTCTCTCTTCCCTTTCCCCTTTCTACGTTACCGATGCTCTAACATCCGTCACTGTATTATCGTGCGTGCCCTCCTTCACGCATACAGCTGGCAGACAACGAAAATATGTCACCGACGCAGTAACCGGCTGGCTGCTGAGACGTGGGACGACCAAAAAGGAAACGGACGATCGCAGATAACGAAGAAAGGGCAACGGTGCCAAATGCCAGCGAAATCGGTTTTCACTTCGTTGCTGTTAATTATATGTTTCTTCTTTTTTTTTTTTTGGTTTTCGGAGGAGGCGGAGTGTTGTACTCGCAGCATCAAGTGGTGTGCCAAGTTTTCCTTCTCAACCCGTCTTGTGCTTCGACTGTGGGGGGACTCAAAAGAATCGAAGACGAATAATAACATTAACAATAATAACGGTGCCAAACAGCGTCGAAGAGGAGCAGACGACGAAGCCGTTAACATGAAAGCGAAATGAAGGACAACCGAAATGTCGATGTTCCTTCAATGTTTTTTTTTGATTTCTCTGCTGCAAACGTATTTTTCTTGTTCTTGTTTTTCCTTATATAAAAAGAGAAGCCGTCATCGAGAACGAGACACTGTTTCTACGTTTCGCTCCTCACGTTGTTGTTATCATTATTTTTTTAAAATACTTCTCGAGCATCTAATCATATTCTGTTAGTCATGTCACGTACGTGTCTAGTCAGGCTTGATTCCCAGCATCCAGAAGGAATATGAAGAAAGGAAAAGAAAGGTAAGAGGTGGATTTGTTTCTTGCTAAAGAAAGTGTGACAAACCCACGAGGTTCACTTCCATACTGGAGTAGCTTTGTTACTGCCTGCGCAACAAGCCACCGGTGATATCCGCCGTGAATGTGATGCTCTAACGCTGTGCCTTCACTTCTCTCGTAAATGATCCACGCAAAGGAACCGAATAAAAAACGTTTGTAAGAAAGAGAAAAAAACTAAGTTCCTCTTGCTGTCTTCATTGAGGCAGCGAAAGTGGAATGTATGCGTGTGTGTGTGTGTGATCTATTCTTCTCCTCTGAAGAAAAACTTTACTGACCGTCATGATCATCTTTCTTTGGCTCTTTCGCTTCCTCTCCTTTATTCCGGCCGACTCACTTCCTACTGGCATGGACCTCGCTTTCTCTGGGGCCTTTGGTGTCACCGCTGCACTCGTCTTGGGTATTGCCCTTCTCTCTCTCTCCCCCGCCCTCCGTGCGTACATTAGTAAAGCACCAGTAAATAAAATCGCCTCACAACCTTTGCTTTCCCATCATTCTCCCTTTTCTTTGCTCGCTCTTTCGTTCAGAGCCACACAGAGTATTTTTCTGTTTCTTCATTTCCCACGCCCTTTTTTTTGTTCTACAGAAGAAAAAAAATATCGGAAGAAACAAAGACGGTCTTACTTGAAACACACACACACACCCATATCCACCCACATTGCTGAACTCCATTACTCTCCGCAGTCTCCGCGTTTCCGGCTTTCTGCTATTACCGAATCTATTGTGACTTTAAGGAACCCGATCTATATATATATTTCGAAGGAGTGCCATCGTTCTTTGTTTCCCTCGTTTCTGCGTATTTCTCCTCTTTTTTTCCTCCGCGCGCGAAAAACACCGCTGTTGCGCATTGTGTTCACTGTACCGAGAAAAGGAAGTGGAAGAGAAGTAATAAGAAAAGAATCCACAAGTGCGTGCGCTACAACTTTGTCGACTCCGTTCGCTGGTACGCACGTCAGCTTTCCTCTTCTTGCTGCTTCTTCTTGCTCTCTCCCCCCTCCTCTTTTTTATTAATTCCCCAGCTGCGATCCATCACGCACACGCGCACGTTCTCGCCGTTGCTTCCTTTCCGCTGTTCTCCCACCCGCCGTTCGCCGACAGGATGACACGTACCAGCGAACCTGACTGTGCCGAGAAGCCGGTCCGGAAGGATGCGCACCAGCTTAGTGACACCGATGGCAGCGAAAGCACGCACAATGTCATTCGATTGGACCTGCACAACCAGAAGCCGGTCAGCGAATCACGCCGCTTTGCTTTGATGACGCTGGCGTGCTTTGCCATGATCTGCGCGTCCACGTCGTACTCCTTCAACCTCTTCAGTGTGGCGCTGCAGACGAAGTACAACTACGACTCGCGCCAGATGTCGTCCATCAACACGGTTGGCATGGTGTTCTGCTACTTCTTGTTGCCGTATGGGTTCACCTACGACTATCTCGGGCCGCTGCCGGTATACGTACTGGCGTGCGTGCTGGCACCGCTCGGTCAGCTGCTGATGGGCCTGACGTTCCAGGGCGTTGTGACCGGCAGCGTTGTGCGCTTCTGCGTGTTCAACGCGCTGCTGAGCCTGGGCAGCCAGCTGTTCGACCTGGCAACGGTAGTGACGCTATTGAGCATCTTCCCGACGAAGCGCGGCTGGGTGATCGCGCTGCTGAAGACGCTGATGGGGCTGGGCTCCGCGATCATCGGGTCGATCCGCGTCGGCTTCTTCCCGAACACGCCCGCGAACTACTTCTACTTCCTGATGGCAATGGTGGTGGTGGTCGGCGTGATGTGCGTGGTGTTTGTGCGGCTACCGTCGTACCACCTGACCGGCTACGAGCAGCGCCACCTGAGCCAAGAGGAGAAGCAGGTACGTGGGGCGGGGGTCGCGGCGTACCTCGTGAAGGAGCCGCCGATGTGGCGCTTCTACTTCGGCATCGCACTGATTCTTGTGCTGGTGGTGTACCTGCCGGCGACGAGCGCTGTGTCCGCCTTCGTGAAGCTGCCCGCGTCGGGGCCGCAGACCTTTGCGATCATTACGGTGGTGCTGTCGTGTTGCTTCCTTGTGATGATGGCGCCGTGCCCGTGGCTGGACCGCCGTACGACAAAGAAGACGGCTGCCGCGCAGGCCGTGGAGGCGGGGGCGGAGATGGCTGACGGGGCCGACGAAGACTCAACGCGCAATGAGGTGCTGACGGACATCGACTACATCGCGCCTGCGTACCAGACGACGTTCCTGCAGAGCTGCTGCACGGTGCGGCTGTGGTGCATCTTCTGGACGATGTTCTGCGGCGTCGGCTCCGAGTTCGTGATCATCTTCAACGCGTCGACGGTCTTCCAGGCGCTGACGGAGACGGAGAACCTGGACACGACGGTGTCGGCGCTGCTGACGGTGCTGAACGGTGCGGGCAGTGCTGTGGGTCGTCTGCTGATGTCTGTGTTCGAGGCGTACACGCAGAAGCGCAAGGCGGAGGACCGCATCCCCATCACGTACGCCTTCTTTGTGCCGACGGCACTGATTATCGTCTCGATCGTGCTGTTCCTGGTGTTGCCGGGTCGCTCCCTGCTGCTCGCCTTCGCGATTGCTGCGCTGGGCAACGGCTTCTGCGCAAGCATCACGATCTTGGTTCTGCGCACCATCTACGCGAAGGATGCGGCGAAGCACTACAACTTCGGCTATAACGCGCTGTGGCTGTCGGCCATCCTGCTGAACCGCCTGCTCTTTGGTGAGTGGATCGCATCGCGGGCGGAGAAGCAGGGGGTGAAGAAGTGTCTGGGCCGCGGCTGTGTGCTGATGCCGATGCTTGTGATGATGGGCCTGAACGTGACGGCGATGCTGTCGGACGTGTACGTGCACTTCAGCTACGTGCGCTTCTCTCGCAAGGTGCTGGCGGAGCGCCGCCGCATCAAGGAAGAGGCAGCCAACGTGGAGCCGGTCAGCGTGGGGAAGGAGATGGTGGTGGTGACGGGTGAGCTGACGGCTGTACAGGACGATAGCGAGAACCTCCGCGATTCACTCGACAGCCCGAGGCAGGGTGCGTAAAAAAAGAGGAAAAGAACATGATGTGGTGTATTGTCTCCCTCGCAAACACATTAAAGCAGAGGCAGCATCACGAAGGGTCGAGGAGGTGAGGTGGAGGTGTCAGGAAGGATTGGCGCGCCTTGAGGATGCGTAGGAGGAGACAACGCAGGTGCGTGGAAGGCTTCTTTTACGAAGGTTTGTTGGACTATTCACGGTGGCGCTTTGCGAGCAGGCTGTTGTCTGCGTGTGCCTCTCGCGCTCTCGCTCTTCTTCTCTTCTAATCTTGGACGTGGCTTTCTGCATCACCGCCCTCCTCACTCTACGCTCTTTCTGAGAAAAGGATGTGGCGGCGGTGATCGTGCCTAACTGCTGCTCTGTGTCTTGTACGAGGTGACGCCACCGAACTCCGCTTCTGTTGCTCTCCACTTTTACGCCTATGCAAACGGATAGCTCTGCTGGGTCTCCCATTTTTCCCTCCTCCACTCCACTCTAGTGTTTTCCACTCGCCGCTGCCACGCAATAGGCGTAGTTGGTAAAACTACTGGTGCGGATGCGTGTATGGGCGTTCAACGCGTCGACAAAAAGCGCTTGCGACTGCAGATGCCGACCAGCGTTGTTAGCATTTCTTCGTGACTTCCTGCTCTCCAAAGTAGACGCACGACCCTCCCCAAATCGGAGGCTAATAACATGCCTGCAACGACCAAGGAGAGAAGTACCACGTAACTGCTCCTTTTTAAAAGCGTTTTCTCTATGCTTGTTCAGTGACGGCAGCAAACGACAACACAAGAGCCGAGTTCTTCACCTTGGTTTACCACGACGTACGACAGCTCGCCCCCCGTTCGTGGGCAGCGTCGCCGCGGCGAATTCTGTTCTTATATATTTTTTTTTTGTTTAGTTTCTGTTGTTGTTGTTGATGTGTGCGTTAAGCGGTGTGCGTGAATCTATATATATGTGTGATTTTGTTTTCTCTTGCCGCTGTACATTTATTCTGTTTTTCCCTCTGCCACCTCTCCTTCTCTCTTCTCTCTTCACGGAGCAGCGCGAGATCCGAATGAGGTGTCAAAGAAGAAGAGAGAGAGAGAGAAGAGAGCGGCCACCTTTGCGTTCCCTTTTTTCCCCACATCATCTGCCCATGCTGTGCGCGGTTTTATTTCCTAGTCTCTGTGTCGGCGGCCCAAGCCGCATGGCTCTTCCACTTTTTAACAACAAAACGACTGTTCTGGGTCATGAGATGAAGAGTTCTAAAGAGTAGGCACGATGAGAGGGAGGGGAAGGGGGAGGGATAAGGGCCGGCTTACAAAAGAAATAATAAAGAAACGATGAGAACGAACATGAAATGTAAAGAGCAGAAGAGGGGAGAGGAGACGGTTTGGCAGTCCAAGCTGTGTGCCGGAGCACGCGCGGGGCATGACATGCACAAACCGCCTTTCCTTCCCCTCCCATTCTGACTCGTAGTTTTTTCTCTTAGATCCACCCGTACACGCACACACGCGCACACATTAAGGATGCGGTTCTTTAAATACAAGTACTTTTCTCTTTTTTTTTGTTTTGCCTTGTAACTGTATGATGAAGGAGAAAAGAATTTGGGATTTTCCTCTATCGAGACTCCAGTGTTGTAGAGCTAATGCCTCTTAAGGTTGCGATCGTTAGAGGGCTATCCGCTCTCTCCCTTTTCTTCATCGTTGAATATTTTTCTTTTTCCCTCTCTTTCTGTTGCTCAGTGCCATATATATATATATTATTATTTTTTTTCTAAAACTGTACATGAACGGGAGCGATGCACATCGGGTTGCATTCAATCCTCTCCACGAAAGACATACAATTATAGCAAAAGTCAATCGAAGACAAACACCGTGTAAATGAATAAATACGACTCTTTCTTTTCTCTCTCTCCCTTGTTTCGTTGGTATTTTCTTTCTTTCTTCTTTAAAAGTAGTTTTTGTAATGGAGTACAAAGAGTTGTACACGCCTTCTCTGTTCTTGTCATAGATGTTCGAATGAAAGAGAGAGAGAGCGAAAGAGCCCTCCCTCTCTTTTTATTTCCACCTATTCTACACCCGATATGTATTCTTGATTTCTGTCTTTCTCCGATTATTTTTTGTTTTGCGAGTGCTTATTTATCTTAATTAGAAGAGTATTTCTTTATTTATAAAATATCTGTTTTCCGCTTTGCTTTCTTCTCTTTGCCTTTAGCGAAAATGACGCCTGCAACCGTGTAAATGCATGTTGTGTGTGTTTTGTGTGTCTCTCTCTATTGATATAAGTACTTTCTATGGAGTTCCAGCTTCACTGCGCTCGCGAGTTTTCTTTGTTTTTGTTTTCACTGCGGACTTTTATCTCTTCTCTTTCCTTCGTCGTCGTGTCTCCTCCTTTACCAAATTGTCTGCTCCGTCAGTTTTCCGAGTGAAGGAGAGAGGAACACGTTCACACTCGCCCCCGTTGTTCTCTTTTTCCATGTTTGTTTTTCCATGAAGGAGGCCCATCAACCCCCCTCTGAGGATTGGCGCGGCAGCACGGCACCTTAAACGAGACAAAAAAGGCTGTATGCGTGGGTGAGGAGAGCAGGTTTTTCTTTGTTTTGTTGGCAAGTGGGCTCGGGTGGGGGTTGGGCAGGTGTGTGCGATTCGGTTGAGGACCCTTTTTTTTTTGGGGTGGCAACTAGACGAGCCCAAGCAGCGGCGCGGGTGTGACGCGTGCGCAGCCCATTGTCTGCCAACTGAACCGGTTTCCTTCACTGTTCTTTTCTTCTTATTGCCTTCCTCAACCTTTTTTAAATATCTCTTCTGTTTGTAAAGCTACCGCCATCATTCAGACGTGCGTTATCGAAGGCAAAACCTCCTTTCGTCGGTTACAGAGGAAAGAAATAAAGAGAGTTGTATCGCAGCAGTTTTCGTGCTCTCTTTTTTTACTTTTCGATTATTATCGGTGGTAAGATAAAAGAGATACGGACGCAGGCCGACAGACAGACGCGGGTGCTATGTTGGCGCATTGAGTCGACACAACTACACGCATTTCGTCAAGGGACTGCACTGCGCAGGCGTTGTGGTGTGAAGGTGCACCAGCACGGGCATCGACCGCCGCCGCCGCCTCCGTCGACGACGCGTGTTCTCGCGAGGGTGTTGCCGGACCGGGTGGCGCCGACGTTGGGTGTGCCGGCTGCTTTGTGCGTTCTATGGTGCTCTGTGGACGGAGCGGCTGCCTCTCCTTCTGTCTCTTCTCTACCACCTCTCTCTCCTCCCCCTCTCCCTCTTTTCCTTGTGCCGCCGTTGCTTCTCCATCGTTGCCTCCTGTGACCGGATCAACGCCACTGCTGGTGCCCTCGCCGCGCCGCACCCACACACCGTGCATTTCGACGCACCGCATCGGCCGTCCCCCCACGACGCCAACAGATTAAATCATCGACAAACAACGACTAACGGCCTCTCCACACACCCCCTCTCTTTCGTTTTCTCTTCCTCCACGAAGGACTCCGCAGTTTCCCTCTCCTTTCCTTCTCCTTTCCCCTCTTTCCAGAGCCACCGCATCCCCCGCGGCTCTCTCTCCCCTGCCCCCTCTCTGCTCTCTGCTCTCTAGCGCTTTCACGGAGCCGAGAATGACGGACCTGTCCGGGGCGGAGCGGCGGCACGATGAGCCTGACAGCGCGGACGACGAGGCGAAGAAGGCGGTGCACCAGCTGGACACGCGCAACGTCGCGCGGCTGAGCGAGCTGAAGCGCTTCGTGTGCCTGACAGCGGCGTGCTTCGCCATGATCTGCGCGTCCACGTCGTACGCCTTCAACCTGTTCAGCGGGAGTCTGCAGGCGGAGTACAACTACGACTCGCGCGCCATGTCGACGATCAACTCCGTGGGCATGGTGTTCGCGTACTTCCTGATGCCGTACGGGTTCATTTGCGACTACTTCGGCCCCTTCCCCGTCTACGTGATCGCGACGACCTACTTCTCGCTGGGTGCGCTACTGATGGGCCTGACGTTCCAGGGCGTTGTGACGGGCAGCGTTGTGCGCTTCTGCGTGTTCAACGCGCTGCTGAGCCTGGGCAGCCAGCTGTTCGACCTTGCGAGCATGACGGCGATCGTGAGCATCTTCCCGACGCGCAAGGGCTGGGTGATCGCGCTGCTGAAGACGCTGATGGGGCTGGGCTCCGCGATCATCGCGGCCATCCAGACCGGCTTCTTCGCCACGACGCCCGCGAACTACTTCTACTTCCTGATGGCGCTTGTGATCGTGGTGGCTGCGTGCGTGATGTCGCTGGTGCGGTTGCCGTCGTATCACCTGACCGGCTACGAGCAGCGCCACCTGAGCGAGGAGGCGAAGGAGCGGCGCATGGAGCACCGCGTGAGCTACCTGACGCAGGAGCCGCCGATGTGGCGCTTCTACTACGGCATCGTGGTGATCCTTGTGCTGGTGGTGTACCTGCCGGCGACGAGCGCGGTTGTTGCGTTTTGCGGCATCCAGCAGAACGGCAAGCGCGCGATTGCGATTGTAGCCATTGTGCTGACGCTGCTGCTGCTGTGCATCATGGCGCCGTGCCCGTGGCTGGACCGCCTGACGACGAAGAGGGGCGCCAACTTGGAGGACGAGGAGTCGGAGGAGTGCATGGCAGACGAGCCGCTGGAGCTGGAGGGGCTGCCGGCGGAGAAGCGTCTGGCGACGTCCTCGTCCGCCTCGACTCCGGACGACGAGCGGCGCAACCGCAGCGGGGAACCCGTCGACGACGACCTCTGCCGCGACGACCTGCAGATGAACGCGAGCGAGGATGCGGCCGCGAAGTGCCGCGGGGGCGCCGTGAAGACGGACGTGGACTTCGTCGCCCCGCAGTTCCAGACGACGTTCCTGCAGAGCTGCTGCACGGTGCGGCTGTGGTGCATCTTCTGGACGATGTTCTGCGGTCTCGGCTGCGAGTTCGTGATCATCTTCAACGCCCGCTTCATCTTCCAGGCGCTGACGGAGGCGGAGACGCTGGACTCGACGATTGCCGCGCTGCTGACGGTGCTGAACGGTGCGGGTAGCGCTCTGGGACGTCTCTCCATGTCATTCTTTGAGATGTATACGCAAACGCAGCGTCCGGAGGACCGCATCCTCATCACGTACGCCCTCTTTGTGCCGACCACGTTTCTGATCGTGTCGATTGCGCTATTCTTGGCGCTGCCGGGCCGCTCCCTGCTGCTCGCGTACTCAATTGCGGCGCTGGGCAACGGCTTCTGCGCGAGCATCACGATCTTGGTGGTGCGCACCATCTACGCAAAGGACCCTGCGAAGCACTACAACTTCGGCATCAACGCGCTGGTGCCGGCGGCCATCCTGCTGAACCGCCTGCTGTACGGCGAGTGGTACGCGGTGCAGGCGGACAAGCAGGGCCGCAAGGTGTGTCTGGGCCGCGGCTGTGTGCTGATGCCGATGCTTGTGATGATGGGCCTGAACATGACGGCGTTCCTGTCCACCGTCTACGTGCACTTCAACTACCGCAACTTCTGCCGCAAGGTGATGGCGGAGCGCCGCCGCATCAAGGAGGAGGGCGAGGAGGCCGCTGCGACGCGTGGGGTGGAGGAGGCGTCGCAGATCGCGTAGAGAAGGAACGGAAGAACACGGAAAACGGTTCTCGTTCTCCATCGGATACGCCTTCGCTCCACGAGGCGCGCATGACGCAGTCACTAACCTCCGCATTGCTCGCCGTCCAGCAAACATAAGTGGGTCCTATAGTACACTCGCTTAGTCTGCTGTGGCTCTACCCGCCTCTTTTTTTCCTCTTGCAAGCGTGCGTCTGCAGTCGCCGTACACTTCATAGCGAACTGTCGCTTCTGCCAGCGTCTTCTTTTCTGTATTACTATTATTACGATAATAATTTTTAATGCTGTTGTTCTCGAGAGGAGCTCACGTGTACGCTGACACGAGCTTCTCGTTCTTTTGCCTCTTGCTGGACATCTTTTTGCCCCTTTTCTGTGCTCTCCGCCTCTGCTGGTGGCTATCCGGTCCCGAATTCACTGCGATGGAACGTGATCTGGCAGGCGGAGAGTCGAAAAGCGCAACGAGGAAAGGAAGGAGAAGAACGAGAGGGACGTAAGGCAGCTTCAGCGACAGGAATAGTGTGAAGTGACGAATGATGGCGCACGCTTCAAAGGCGGAACTCTCGCTGGCTCGTCTTTGCAGACTTACGCCACCGCAGAGCACGCCTGGTGTTTGCTGGTTTACAAACACTTTTCAATTTTCAACCAAGATCGAAATAACAAAAGAAAAACACGAAGAATGAATCGATGACGGCTCGAGCCGCTTTATTTTTCACTCTGATGTCCCTCTCTGTTATTTTTGGGACTGTGAGTGCTGACAAAGAAATCTGACTGATACTCATTTTTATCTTGTTTTGAGTATTTCTTTGCCTTTTCGTCTGATCAGCTTATTTCTCCTTTTATCTGGTTTTTCTTTGCCGTTAGTGGGAATGCCTGCGCATTGCCACGCCCCCTTCTCAGCCTTCCCACTGTTGTCACTTCTTACTTTTGCGAAGTGCGAGAAGGAACTGCAAAGAGCCAAAAGAAACACAAATAGGAAAAAATAAATAATGATACCACACATTGGAAAACTCGTCTCTTTTTCACTTAAAAGAACTGTGTTGGCTATTTTACACCTGTTTTTTTTCTCTTTCCTCCTTCTTCTCCCCGTCTCTGACATCCCTCCCTCCCTCCCTCAGCGATATTATTTTCTTCTTTGGCTTTTGCTTGATTTTTTAAAAACTTTTTTTTTGGTCTCTGTGCGTCTTCTGAGCCGAATATTTTAATTATTATTATTTTTGTATGGCGCATCCGCGTGCATAACGTTGAGAGAACACGCGGCCGCTTCGCCCAAATGCAAAGAACGACAAGATAGTATCTATATATATCGAATTGTAGCAACGGCGGTGCACACGTCGACTTGTTCAACTTCACCGCAACATACGACGAGTGTGTACTCTGCCTTGCAGAAATTACTGTTATTATTCTTATTCTTGTTTTGTTCTGTTCTTGCGCGTTCTTTCTCTCTCTCCCTCTCTCTTTCGTTCCCCCATGATAATGTGTGTGTGTGTGCCCACAGTGCTTCTGCCTCCCTCTTTCTCAGATTTCTGATGTGCTGTTCCAGTTCTTTTTGTTTTCTTCTTCTGCAGTTGCGCTCCACTCGTGTAGAAGGTGGGACGTACCGGCCGTGCAAGACAACGCGAGGGCACAGTGGGATGCACATGCGTTTCGTGTCGTTTAGACAAACCGCACACGAACAGAGCGGAGGGGGAGGAGGGGAAGACGCCATGGCGGACGGTAGAAGGGTGCCTGAGAAGTACGGTTTCTCTCGTTGGCTTCAGATGATAGCGCTTAGTGCTGACTTGGAATAGAAAAAATGAATGAAAAAAAAAAGACAAAGGCAGAAGAGATATGTTGGATGTGCGCAAGCGAGACTCCGACTGCTGTGGCGCTCGAACATGTATCGACGGCTGCCGTGGTCACCTTTCGCACCTGAGAAGACGGACCACGCCCAATAATAGCTTTAACTTCACCAAAGCTTACTTTTGCGGAGACACGTCAACTGAGGAACACCTAACCAATGCTCTTCGTCTTCTATATATATGAAAGAAGTCAGCAAAGCTCACGTCCTGTGACCAACGAACGAACGAGGCTATAGGAACAGACATACAAAAAAGAGACGCATTTCTTTATTATATGAAAAGAAACACCTGCACTCTCTTCGGTGGTTGCGATGGTTCTTTTCAAAGCTATTCGACACTGGATGGTGTAGAGCTTTATGTCTTGTTATATATATATTCCTTTCTTCCACAGTTTTCCCTGCTTCTGTATTTTCTTTTTTCTCTCAGTGCTCCTTTATTTCTGTTTTTAAAAGACTTTAAAAATAAAAAAAGAGGAAGTTCTGAGAGAGATGTTTGCGCATTTTGAAAAACCCATGAGCAACATGAAGTTTCACGTTTTACCTTTCCGTTGCTGGCTTCAAGAAAGAAAAAATAAATAAAAGCATACGAGGTGTTGTTGTCAAAGCAATCTCATTTACGTGTCCCTCGTGTATCGGTGCCGCCAGCTCTCTCTCTCTCTCCTTTCGTTGTAGCTTCTCCTTTTCGTTTTACACGATACACCTTTGGGGATTCTCCTCCTTTTGTCTTTTTTTTTCCATCGAAATCCTTCACCTCTCTTGTCTTTTCTTTAAAAAGAAATTCTATTGCTCCTTTCTGTGTTTCTTGTATCGACGTACCACTTCTGGTCGTACTCTCGGGAAAAACGCAAATACATACCAGTGTATGTGTATGTCTTCCCTCGTTCTCATAGTGCGGCTTCAATGCGTTGCTGTGGAAAGCCTTCACGAGGGACGCGCATAGCTACACGCATTTCGTCAAGGGACTGCACTGCGCAGGCGTTGTGGTGTGAAGGTGCACCAGCACGGGCATCGACCGCCGCCGCCGCCTCCGTCGACGACGCGTGTTCTCGCGAGGGTGTTGCCGGACCGGGTGGCGCCGACGTTGGGTGTGCCGGCTGCTTTGTGCGTTCTATGGTGCTCTGTGGACGGAGCGGCTGCCTCTCCTTCTGTCTCTTCTCTACCACCTCTCTCTCCTCCCCCTCTCCCTCTTTTCCTTGTGCCGCCGTTGCTTCTCCATCGTTGCCTCCTGTGACCGGATCAACGCCACTGCTGGTGCCCTCGCCGCGCCGCACCCACACACCGTGCATTTCGACGCACCGCATCGGCCGTCCCCCCACGACGCCAACAGATTAAATCATCGACAAACAACGACTAACGGCCTCTCCACACACCCCCTCTCTTTCGTTTTCTCTTCCTCCACGAAGGACTCCGCAGTTTCCCTCTCCTTTCCTTCTCCTTTCCCCTCTTTCCAGAGCCACCGCATCCCCCGCGGCTCTCTCTCCCCTGCCCCCTCTCTGCTCTCTGCTCTCTAGCGCTTTCACGGAGCCGAGAATGACGGACCTGTCCGGGGCGGAGCGGCGGCACGATGAGCCTGACAGCGCGGACGACGAGGCGAAGAAGGCGGTGCACCAGCTGGACACGCGCAACGTCGCGCGGCTGAGCGAGCTGAAGCGCTTCGTGTGCCTGACAGCGGCGTGCTTCGCCATGATCTGCGCGTCCACGTCGTACGCCTTCAACCTGTTCAGCGGGAGTCTGCAGGCGGAGTACAACTACGACTCGCGCGCCATGTCGACGATCAACTCCGTGGGCATGGTGTTCGCGTACTTCCTGATGCCGTACGGGTTCATTTGCGACTACTTCGGCCCCTTCCCCGTCTACGTGATCGCGACGACCTACTTCTCGCTGGGTGCGCTACTGATGGGCCTGACGTTCCAGGGCGTTGTGACGGGCAGCGTTGTGCGCTTCTGCGTGTTCAACGCGCTGCTGAGCCTGGGCAGCCAGCTGTTCGACCTTGCGAGCATGACGGCGATCGTGAGCATCTTCCCGACGCGCAAGGGCTGGGTGATCGCGCTGCTGAAGACGCTGATGGGGCTGGGCTCCGCGATCATCGCGGCCATCCAGACCGGCTTCTTCGCCACGACGCCCGCGAACTACTTCTACTTCCTGATGGCGCTTGTGATCGTGGTGGCTGCGTGCGTGATGTCGCTGGTGCGGTTGCCGTCGTATCACCTGACCGGCTACGAGCAGCGCCACCTGAGCGAGGAGGCGAAGGAGCGGCGCATGGAGCACCGCGTGAGCTACCTGACGCAGGAGCCGCCGATGTGGCGCTTCTACTACGGCATCGTGGTGATCCTTGTGCTGGTGGTGTACCTGCCGGCGACGAGCGCGGTTGTTGCGTTTTGCGGCATCCAGCAGAACGGCAAGCGCGCGATTGCGATTGTAGCCATTGTGCTGACGCTGCTGCTGCTGTGCATCATGGCGCCGTGCCCGTGGCTGGACCGCCTGACGACGAAGAGGGGCGCCAACTTGGAGGACGAGGAGTCGGAGGAGTGCATGGCAGACGAGCCGCTGGAGCTGGAGGGGCTGCCGGCGGAGAAGCGTCTGGCGACGTCCTCGTCCGCCTCGACTCCGGACGACGAGCGGCGCAACCGCAGCGGGGAACCCGTCGACGACGACCTCTGCCGCGACGACCTGCAGATGAACGCGAGCGAGGATGCGGCCGCGAAGTGCCGCGGGGGCGCCGTGAAGACGGACGTGGACTTCGTCGCCCCGCAGTTCCAGACGACGTTCCTGCAGAGCTGCTGCACGGTGCGGCTGTGGTGCATCTTCTGGACGATGTTCTGCGGTCTCGGCTGCGAGTTCGTGATCATCTTCAACGCCCGCTTCATCTTCCAGGCGCTGACGGAGGCGGAGACGCTGGACTCGACGATTGCCGCGCTGCTGACGGTGCTGAACGGTGCGGGTAGCGCTCTGGGACGTCTCTCCATGTCATTCTTTGAGATGTATACGCAAACGCAGCGTCCGGAGGACCGCATCCTCATCACGTACGCCCTCTTTGTGCCGACCACGTTTCTGATCGTGTCGATTGCGCTATTCTTGGCGCTGCCGGGCCGCTCCCTGCTGCTCGCGTACTCAATTGCGGCGCTGGGCAACGGCTTCTGCGCGAGCATCACGATCTTGGTGGTGCGCACCATCTACGCAAAGGACCCTGCGAAGCACTACAACTTCGGCATCAACGCGCTGGTGCCGGCGGCCATCCTGCTGAACCGCCTGCTGTACGGCGAGTGGTACGCGGTGCAGGCGGACAAGCAGGGCCGCAAGGTGTGTCTGGGCCGCGGCTGTGTGCTGATGCCGATGCTTGTGATGATGGGCCTGAACATGACGGCGTTCCTGTCCACCGTCTACGTGCACTTCAACTACCGCAACTTCTGCCGCAAGGTGATGGCGGAGCGCCGCCGCATCAAGGAGGAGGGCGAGGAGGCCGCTGCGACGCGTGGGGTGGAGGAGGCGTCGCAGATCGCGTAGAGAAGGAACGGAAGAACACGGAAGGGTGCCATTCACTCGGTCTCCCCTCCCTTTTTTTTCTTGCTTCTCCCCTTTGCATAAGCTTCTACTCCCTCTAAAGTGCATGTTGATCCCCTGCGTCGGCGCACTCCGCGGAACGGGCCAACGTAACCCAGCGAAAGGAGTGTGTCTGAAAGTGTAGTCGGTGACGTTTTTGTGCGCTGGCGTGAGTGCTACGTCACCACCCCTCAGACGTGTTCTTTCCCCCCACCTTTCTCTTGGTGCTGTGCATTTCGCCCTGTCTGTTAAAGTTTTGTGTTTTTCGCCGCAGCGCCGAATTCGTCGCGATCGTGCGGCTTCGCCCCCTCCCTCCCCGCTTCATTATTATTATTATATATATATATATATTTTTTTTTTTTGGTCCCTCTCTGTTTTAGTGGCAGTGTTGTAGTTCCCCATCAGGCCAAGAGGCGAGAGGCGAGAAGAGAGAGAGGCGGGTGAGGGAGGAGAAACAGAATGGCGGTGAAGGAAATAATAGAATCATGATTATTGAGCTCATCTGGTTGTTGGAGTTGTGCCTTCGGCAGGACGCTGTGTTATGGAAACGCAACAAAGAAAGAAGAGGCATAAAGCTCCTGCCCTCCCCTCCCCTCCCCCCGTTTCTCTCTCCTCCCTTCTAGATTTCCTGTTTTAGTTGTTGTTGTTCTTCCAACGTATTTACGGGGTCAGTGCGTTAAATAGATTCATCTCCCTCCCCTCTCCCCCCTCACCTTGTCATCCATCTGCGCCCTCTTCAAGATTTTTTTTTCTATGTTTGCTTGCTTGTGTGCTTTTCACCTTCGCGAGGTCTTCGTTCGCCACCACAATTATTTCCTCCTCTTCTTCTTGTCTGCCTGACGCGGTTTCCTTGAGCGGGGGTTTTTCATTTTTTTTTGTTTCTGTTTGCGTGGCTGCTCTCTTGACAGGAGAAAGACCGCGGATGCTTCTCTCCTTGTTCTCTCCCTCCGATTCTATCCGGAGAGAGAAATGGCAGATGAGGGATGAGAGGACAGTCAGAGGCAAAGCCGGGCCTGTAGGTGCATGGCAAACGGTATTCCAAAAAAAACAACAGAGAAATAAAGGGGAAAGAAGTGTGATGTGAACTGGCTACACGGAGGTGCACAAGACGAAGAGAAAGGAAGGAGGGAAAGAAAAAAAGCTTATCGCTAACACAACTGCTGGAAACGCTTTTTCTTTCTTCTCTTTTTTTTTCCTTTGCTCAAACGGAAGAGACACAGGTGGGTTTTTTTTGTGTATGTATGTGTGTGAGTCGGCGCGCCGGAGGCTTTTGGCCCTCCTCCCCCCCCCCTCCAAAAACGATGATATATCACACAGACACACGTACCAAGTCTCTTTCTTTCTCTCCCCCCCCCCGCGAAAAGACCAGCTTAAAGGACACCTAAGCACACTTTTCCGGCGCTCTTTTATATATAAATTCTGGTATATTTACGTATTTCCTCTTTTTGCTTTGTTTTCGGCCGCATGGTTGTTGTGTTTTCTTTTGTTAATATAACGACTAAGGTCACGCACACGACCGTGTTATCTTCGCTTTCGTTTTGTCAGCCGCATTTTCCATCATTCTCCCATTTTCTTTTCTTTGCCTTTCTTTTTTTAGAATTATTCTCGCATAAAAGAACCATCGAATTATCTTCATTTTGTTGTTAAACTTCCCCCCTCTTTCTTTTTCTAGTCCTCTCTTTTTCTTGTTTTTGAAGGTTCGCAGCCTCTATCGCCAACGGAACGGCGAAGGAAGCTGAATTGACGTGCGACATTCGACAGCAGCCGCTCGAAACGTGTCGCAGCATCCGCGAATAAAAGAAATTTTTTGTTTCTTCTGCTTCCTGTCCAAAGAAAAAGGGAAGAAAAAAGTCTACTGTGCGTTGCGCTCCACCTCATCGAGATCGGACGACGATGACGACGTAATGAGCAACAACGATAGTAGGAGCAACGAGGACGATGAAACACGAGGCCTTTTTGAAAAAAAAATTATAGTTTTCGCCTGTACACGCGTAGTCTCTCTCCTTCCCTCTCTCTCTCTCTCTCGAAGGATTGGCCTGTCTGACAGGCGACGACGACAGCAGCGAAAGGCTCTGGATCTCGAATTTTTTGTTTGCTCGTGGGATGCGTTACGCTTTAAGGTCACCAAAGCACTCACCCACCTTTTCTCTTTTGCCAAACGGCTAATACTTCTTTATGGGCCTTTTTCCCTGCTCTTTTGTTTTTGTGTGGGTTTATAGCACTGCACTTCTTCTCTTCAAAAACAATAATTCCGGACGTACGGCGGCACCCATTCAAGAAGGAGTACCGATGCGAGTCGTATTCATCTTGTTTCCGCACCTGCGACACCTTTTCTTTTTTCTCTCTTTCTTTCCTTTGTTTTTCTGGTGTATAATGGAGTCCTTTGTCTCCTCCTTTCCCCACTCACGTCCTGTGCACATCAACCTCTATGTGTGCTTCTGCCCGTTGAATTGATGAGGTGCATGGTGCCCTCAAAGACGCATCGGTTATCTGTGCGCATCGACACGAACCTTAACATCGAAGAAAACCGTTTCTCTTCACGTAGCAGGCGATGGCTTATTGCAAGCGAACACCAGCACACGCTCGAAAGCGCGTGCGTTGTATTTTTCTTGTTTGCCTTTGTCGCACCTCCAGCTTAAAAGACACCTAAGCGAGTACGACACACCTGCAAAGAAGGGTTTTTTTTTGTAATTCTCTTTCTTCTTGTCATCTCCGACTTCTTTTTTACGCTCTATTTTTTTTCCCAGTTGCGGCGTCCAGCGCCTTTCCCCCCTTTCGTCTTTTGCCGGGTGCGTGCCATGACAGAATTTGATTCTCCTACAATTTCGGTTGTGATGTTTCTCACCCACTCAACTCCTTTTTGTTTATTCGTATTCAAGGCAGCAGAATTCGCCTTCTCGCTGTTTTCTCCACCGCACCATCAACAATTCTTTTCCCCTGTTTTTGGATGTGTTTAAGTGGTCTTGAGAAAAACAATAACAACAGGGCTGTCTTCTCCGCCTTTCTACGATTTGGCGAAGCGGGGCGATGACGATGATTTTTACGAAGGTAGGCAGATGCGGGGGCCGCATCGAGAAGACGGAGTACACACAAGAAGTATTCATCACGCAAGCGAAAAGAAAGCCGTAATACCGAAGAATCAAAAGAGTCTTAAAAAAAGGCTCTTTTCCGTTCACACACACACACACACACCAGCTGAGAGACTGGAACCGTTGTCCGCTCGGTCAACATGGCAGACCTCAAAAGCTAACGGAGGTGGTGCCGCCATCGTTTGAAGCGGAAGGAAAAGACCCCCTCCCCACCTCCGCAATGTATTATTTGTTGATTATGTTAACGCTGTGGTGCCCCACTGAGCCTGCTCTATTGCACTGCTCGATATTCTCCTCTTTTTTCCCCTCAACTGTTTTTCTTCTCTATACTCTTTCTCTTCCTTTTCAATTCAATCCTCTTCTTTTTTTTCTTAAACAATGATAACATATGTTTCTTCGATATCTGTATATTGTTTTCTTTTGGTTTTTGAATCACCAAAGATTCGAGAGTCGAACGCTCGCAGCAGTATCTCATTGTATTTATATTCTAAACTAATAATCGCACCGTTGGGTCTACACTCAAGCTAACGCGATCTATCGTTATATACTTTTTTCTCTGCTTCTTATTTCCTCTTTAACCGTCCACACGCGCACACAGTCTCTCCTCCTCTATAAAGTGTTGCGGTTTGCAATAGCTGGTCCCCCTTCAACGTTATCTTATCTTTTTCCTTTTCTACATTGTACTATTCTGTTTCCACCGAGGCGTCATGGGGACTTCTGACACCGCTGAGCGGAGCTACTTCGCAGCGATTTCGCACAAGGATTTAAACCTCATGAAGGAGCTGCTGGCGGCGCACTACAACGTCAACGTCGTGTCGCCGGACCCGGCGCTGTACCATCGCACCCCGCTGCACCTGTGTGTCTGGGACAACTTCATTGAGGGCGCCAAGCTGCTGCTCGACGCCGGGGCGGACGTGAACCTGCTCGATGACCTCCACGACTCGCCCTTTCTCCTCGCGGGGGCGGAGGGCCGCCTGGAGATCATGCAGCACCTCTTCCGCAACGCGGAGCGGACGATGAAGTACGGCGGTCAGGCGAGCCGTCGCATGAAGACGAGTGTGCCGGACCACGCCGTGGTGAACCGGTTTGGCGGGTCCGCGCTGATCCCGGCGTGCGAGCGCGGGCACGTGGAGATGGTGCGCCTGCTCGTGTCGAAGGGGGTCGACGTGAACCACTACAACTACTACCACTGGACCGGGTTGTTAGAGGCAATCGAGCTCGGCGGCGACGACCGTGAGCACGTGGAGATCGTAAAGATTCTGATTGAGGGTGGAGTGAACGTAAACCAGGTCGACGAGCACGGGAAGACGCCGTTGTACCTGGCGCGCAAGCGGAGGTACAAGCGCATTGCGGCGCTGCTGGAGGCCGCCGGCGCCCATGAGTAGAAGTACGCCGTCGTCCTTCTTGGTTCATGTGTTTGCTTTTGTCGTTCTTGCTTCGGTGCCTTCCCTTGTTCAGTCTTTTCTCTGTGTTGTGCTGAAGATGTCGCTTGCATTCTTTTGTCTGCACTCCCCCCCCCCCGCCCACGTTGCACAGCGGTGCTTCTCTCTCTCTCTCTTTTTTTTTAAATAACTTTCATGCTGCCAGCGCCGTTTGCCTTTACCTTGTCTGTGCTATTTCATATATTATTATTATTTCGTGGATAGCGATAGCATCGGCCAACAGGCGTGCCGCGGCAGCAGTTCGGTTCTCTTCTTATCTCGTTAATATATATATATATAGAAGAGTAAGAGAGAGGGAAGCAGCGATATAAAAGCAAATTATTTGCCGCATTTCGTGTTAATCATTGCGTTGCTGTGATGCTGACGTAGTACGAAAGACTGTGTGTCGCATCGCATCCGTCTTTCCGCGGAGTGATGATGACCGAAGGAGGAGAAGGGAGAGAAAGAGAGCTTTGTGGGGGACGGAATCAAGGTTTTTTTTTTAAAAACTTTCTTTGCTGTCGCTGCTGCTTCTCTGCGACGCTGTCGTGAAGAGCGAATAGATCGGCGTACTGAAGGAAAAGATGCGTGCTCGACGACGGAGAGGTGCGAGCTGGAGATCATTGGCACTTTTTGAGTTTGCTTCTGTTTCTGTTGTTTATACCTTTTGTTTTTTCGCACTCTCAACACCAGCATTTTAGACCTTTTTATTTTCTTGTCTGTGTGGGTTTAAATCCTGACCGGTGTCGACACCTTTCTGTGCCGTCCTTCGGCACGCGAATACGGTCTATCTTGTAGCGGAGGGCATCGCGCTCTCTCTCGGGCGAAGGTGACGCTTCTCCGGCATTGTTGCTCTCCACCGCGAATTCCTATAATAAAGGGGGAAATGAATATGACGACAACCAAGAGAAAAAAGATGGATTTTGAAAACAACTGTATGCCTTAGTGTCTGTAGCCTCTTTTCTCTTTTTCTTCTTCTGCTGCAGCCGAATCGATCATCGTTTCAAATAACTACACATAATACATATATCCTAGATACGTGAGTGCGTCTGCTCATCAGATTGTATCCTTAGACCTGCTGACAATTGTGACGCTCAGCCGTGGAGAGCGACCAGGGAGAGTAATCATAATAACAGCCCTAATAGCGCTCTACAACGAGCGTTATAGCCACGCTGAGAATGAATCGCACGCGCCACGACGATGCGTCTCTGCTGTCCTCCACCTCAGCTCCGGCGAGCACGACGCACGATGCAACGACGACGACGACCACCACCATCCCAACCGGTCTCCGCAGCTTCCAGCAGCAGCGTGAGGCGCAGCTCCGCCACGCCCTGCAACACGCAAGCCCCACCCCAGCTGAGGTGTCCGCCGTCGCGAGTGCGTCTTACGTGCAGGCGCTAATGGAGCTCATCGATCAGCACAGCACTGACGTGCAGCAGGTGACTTCCAAAATCGATGCGCTGCGGGCACAGCGCGAGGCGTACCACGCCGACCTCGCACGAGAACTGCCGCAGCGCGAGGCCGACCTGCAGGAGCTGCGGAATGAGTGCTCGGACTTGACCCTGCAGGTCCAAGAAGAGCAGGAGCGCTCTACTCGGCTGCTGCACGAGGCCACCGTTCTGCACACGCAGCAGGCGGCGCAGAGGGAGCAGCTGGGAAGGCTGGTGGAGCTGTGCCGTGCGCGTGGGAAGCGTCTTCGCGCCTTTTATTACCACATGAAGGGCGGTGGCGGCGCGCGGGGGAGCCGATTTGTCGAGGAGGACGAACGTGGGTTGGCGGAGGGCGACGTGGAAGCCGGGCGGGCACTGTCAAGCCAACCAGCAACTTTTGCAGACGACGGCATCGCTGCTGTTGCTGCGCGAAGCCCTGTTGTCAAACCCAGCAGCGCGCCCCCCTCTGTCCATCCCGTTTCCTTGAGCATCCACAAGGCGTCGTGCGGCCGAGAGGCGCGGCCCTTCCTCGGCAGCGGTGGCGGCGTCGTCTCCATGCAAGAGATCGGCGACGACGCGGAGCTCGCGGCTATCCTGAACCTGCCCTACAAGGTGTGCCTGCCACGTACCCCTCCTTCCTCCCCCTCCCCCTCCTCGGCCGCCCCTTTATCTCCGCACGACGCAGCCACCACGGCAAGCGGCTTCACCGTGACGGCGAATGCAGCGAGCACCGCGCAGCTCCTCGCTCGCGCAGAGGAGGTGAACATGCTCCGTCAGCAGCTAGAGGAGCAGCGCGGCGCCTACGAGCAGGAGCGTGGTGCTCGCACCCGCGAAGACAACGAACGCCACCGCCGCGCGCAGGAGCAGCTGGCGAGGTACGCCGCCACGGTGGAGCAGCTGGAGTCGCTGCACGAGGAAAGCCTACGGGAGCTGGTGCAGTACCGCCATCATTCGGAGAAGCAGCTGCGCGATGTGCGGGGGCAGGTGGAGTGGCTGCGAGTGGCGCTGCAGAACGCATTAGAGTTGGCGGAGAAGGACCGGCGGCAGCAGCACAACGAGGTGTACGCCACGGAGCAGCGCATGTCGAAGCAGTACTACCCTAAGGTGCAGTCCTTGCACAGCGAGCTGGCGGAGTACCGACGTGTGTCCGCGGCACAGGCCCGCGACCACGCGGCCGCCATCGCCCAAAAGGACGAGCAGATCGCAGCGCTGCAGCAGCGGCTCAAGGCGGAGACGACGCAGCGCCGCCGTGCGGAGGAGCGGCACGTGTTGGAGATGAAGGGCGTCCACAGCGAGCTGGATTTGATGCGGCAGTCGCTGCGGCAGATGGAGCGGCGCGTGTACTACCGTGGCGTGCGCGATCAGGCTTCGGACGAGGCGGAGGTGGAGCTGGAGCGGTATTATTATTGACGAGGGGGAAGAAGAGAAGGCCGAGACAGTTTCCTTGACCTTTTTGTGTTCTTACAGCCGCTTCCTGATCTGACTTCGCAGACACACACACATGTACAAACAAAAGAATAAATGTGCTGTTCTTCCGGTGCGTCTCCTCTCCCCTTTCGTCCTCGCAGCGGACGTAATGCAGTGTACTTCGCTGAAGAGGTGCTTGCTTTTCCTCTCTCTCTCTCTACCTCAATTTCTCTTTTGTTTTGTTGGATGAGCGTTGCGCCGTGCACGTGGTTGACGCACTCCTGCACTCTGCAAACGACGAAGCAAACCCCCAAAAGAAGTGTAGTATTCATCACGGAGCCGTTGCTTTCTCGGTATACGCTTCCAGAGAGTCCCAATCCGCTCACGATGGGTTCCTATATTCGTTTCTCATTGGTGCGGCGTCGCCGACACTTTCTCCGCCGTTATTTTTGTTTTCAGTAATGGCTATGTTAGTATTTGTGGATGTATTTTCCTTGTACGCTTTTTCTGCTTCACTTAGACGCTATGGCAGAGAAGCCAAAAATAGAACGCACAGGCCCTAAACACAGCAACAACAACAAAACAGATCAATTACGATCGAAATGACGATTCTCATTCACGTGCTACCTTGCCAGCTACAGCATCTCTTTCTTTCTTTCGCTTTGCTGATCTGAAGTTGATGCGCTCCACTCTCGTGCGACAACCGCAACTTCGCCGAAGACTGTGCCGTTGTTTGCCGCCGTGCCTCTTTGCGGTCTCCCTTCCGCAGAGCTCTCTCGATCCCTTTTTTCTTTTCTCCTTCTTCCCGTCATGTTCGCGTTGACCTTTTTTTTCTTCCTTCGGGTTTCCCCGCAAAGCCCGCAGATTCTTTTCCGCTTCCTCCGCTTTTTTCAGAGCACTCTACCCGTAATAATACTTTCCACAGAAAAAGACAGACTTTACAGTAACAGACACGTTGAACACAGAGCAGCGGCATACATAAGCAAAAAACAACAACAACAAACGAGCCACCAAACACGTCAAACGAGAGGGAGAGGAGGTAAGAGAAGAGAACAGCTCATCCTATTAGAAGAGCGACCTAGAAGTTGTGTCGTCGCTAACGTCCTCTTTTTTTTCTCTTCTGCCGACTGGCGGTATCCCTCCTTGTTTCTCTTTCTTCTCTTCACACAGATATATATATATATATATTCACACACACACGCGCAGACCCACTTCAGCGTCCCTTTCTTCTCCACTTTAAAGACTTCTCCGAGGGCGAGAGGAGAAAGAGAGAAAGAGAAAAAAGATAAAATAAAATAATCGGACGCGGGGCACCTCATATCGCCTGGGAACGTCGAGTTTGCACGTCCGCCGTTGATTTGCTACATAGCTTCTTCTTTTTTTTTTTTTGAAGTTTTAAAGGTTTCGTCTTTCCCGTCCCTCTTCTTCCCTTTTTTTTTTTACCTGTCTTGTGGTGCTGTCGTCTCTGCCGTGCTCTACTGCACTCGGGAGAGAAGCTGGAGACCGGAGAGAGAGAGAAAGGGTAAGAGAAAGGGAGAAGAGGAGGAGGCGCTTCCGTCGTCTTAGAGTACCTTTCATTGCTGCGTTTCACCACCGGTTTTTTGTACCGCGTACGTGTATTTCTCTTTGCGTTGCTCTCTTCCGTATCTTCTGCGCTGCGCTTTTCATCCTTGTACTGCGACTTCCTAGACCTTATACGCGAACTTTTTTTTGGTCGTTTCTCTTGCGTTTTCTTCGCTGAGTCTCCTCTCTCTCTCGCTCTCTCCAACTAGATACATTTCGGCTGCCTTCAGCGGATCGTTTCACAAGCCTTCTGTGCCGCATCATTGCATCGGACCGGGAGATCAACGAAGAGGAGAAAGAAGCGGGAGACGAGGGGTGGGGCGCTTGCCCACACACACACGATACGCGTTAAGCGTTACGCGTTTTCTTTCGTGGATTCACTTTAAAGCATATTCTCAACTCCCCCTCTCCCTCCCCCAAAAGGAAAGGAAGAGAGGTTCCATGCACAAGAAGGAAACACACACAGCTTTAATCGACCACAATTGCTTGTAACGACTATTAATAATATTTTTTTGTCGAAACATCGGCAGAGGACGATCGTGAACGAGTGAAAGAGAAACAGAGAACGCAAGAGGGGAGAGTCCGCGATGGCACCAAAGCGGGCGGCCAACCGGCTGCTGGTGCTCTGCGCCTCCATCAACGATGTCACCGCGTGGCCGTTTTGGAAGTTCCTGCAAATGAAGAAAATTAAAGGAGTGACGGACATGGCGCTTCTCGCCTTTAACAGCGACGGTGGCAGCTTTGAGGCCCGCATTGACGGTGAGAGGTATCACCTGAAGAACTACGCGAAGGTGCGGGGATATCAGCAGGACATGTTCGAAAACTTCGTGCAGCGCTGGCACGACCCGGGGCGGAGCTATTTTGTGTACGGCGGGCACGGCATGGGCGACTACGTGGAGCTGGAACAGAACCGTGTGTCGCTGCAAGTGCACGAGCTGGCCTCTATCTTCGGCAAGCGCACCTTCGAGGCTATCCTTTTCGATGCGTGCTTCATGTCGAACCTAGACTGCGCCTACCACCTGCGCCACAACACGCGGTACATCGGTGCCAGTGAGGGGTACATGTGGGAGCCGGACACCGCGCTGGACTACCACATCTTCAACACCCACAACGCGAGCGCAATGAGCCGTTTTAAGGATCCCCTTCACATACTCCGGACGGTGCAGGCGGACTATTGCGGTAAGGCCCTGCGTGGCGACTTCAGCGTGCTGGACACCACCCACGTCGCGGAGCTGCGCCGCTACGTGCAGGAGCACGTGATCCAGCGCGTGTACGACCGGGCAACGTTCTACAGCCTGCCGCAGCAGGAGCGGCTGAAGCAGCAGGCGGAGGCGGCGGCACAGGCCGCCATCGCCGAGTTCGGGCACCCCGGCGGGGATGCGAACATGATGCCGGGCCTGGCAAACGGTATAGGTCAGCCGCACATCATCACCACACCGGGCTCCCTTGCTCTCCCCGATAGTGGCCGACCGAGCCGCAAGCTGCGACTCCTGCGCGCTATCCAGTTTGAGCACGCCCTCTACCCGTCCGAGGCGGAGGACAAACAGCTGCTGGACCTCAAGTCGTACTTGACCGACATGGAACAGGAGGCACAGCAGCGGCAGGCGTGGGAGGCGGCCGCATCTGGGCCACAACGCCGCATCGCCGCTGGCCGCCGCCGTGTGCGGAGTGACGCCGTGCTCAACGGAGGGAGCGGCGGCGGCGGTGGCGTGGGGTCGTCGCTGTCGACGCCGTCCTCGACCTTCGCCGTCTTTCATCCGGCGCCGTCGCGTGCGTTGTTCGTGGATCGGCAGGGGCGGCTGCCTGCTGCGGCGCCGACGCGGACCGCGGCGACGGACGTGGCAGCAGTAGGGGCGTTGGCCAATGCGGTGCCTACTACGGCGCCCAAGCTAACCGCCCTCTCGCCGGGGTATAAGGGCAGCGCGCAGGAAGGGCTCGATCTCTTTCACAAGGTGGTGGTGAGCCACACGCAGCCGAAGGCAGCCGCCATCTATGCTGCCCATCTCGGCGGGCTGTCCTTCACGGTGCACGAGTTCAGCGGGATGTCGCGACCGGTGGAGCCGTGGGTGGTGGAGTCGCGGCGGCTGCTGAAGCGGCGTGCGAAGTTGTTCGTGAAGAACGGCGAGCTGGCGGAGGTGGAGACCGAGACCCCGAAGCCGCACGCCGCCGCTGCCGTGATGAGCAGAAATGTGCTGACCGCCGTCGATTCCGCGAAAGCCGCCTGCGTTGCCGCAGCAGCCGGGAGAGGAGCGTCCGGTGCTCCCTCTCCACCGATGCAGTCACCGTGCACCGCGATGAAGGCGTTGTCTGCTTCCTCGACTAAACCGTCTGCGTCAGGATCTACCGCAGAGACATCTCTCCCTCTGCCGTGCAGTCGTCGCCACCGCAGCAGCAGCGGCAGCAGTGCGGCTCCGTTGACGATGCCGTCCCTGTCGGTGTACGCGTCGGCGTCGATCGGGCCCACGGTGTCATCGCAGGCGCAACGGCCAGCGTCTTACACACCGACGCCGAAGCCGAACTCTCATCAGCAGACAGGCAACTGTTAACGATAAAATGAGAGAGAATGAGGGCGGAAAGTACTGCTCGTTTTTTTGGTACACCTGCCTCATCTTCCTTCCCCACCCCTCCTCTTACACACACACAGCAGAGGCGTGGGAGGTGAAGCGAGTTGATCGTTGGGTGAGCCTGCGCGTGACCGGACGCACCTATAAAGGCGTTCCTGACTCTGGAGTTGTCTGTGAAGACAACGTGCCCTCCTCACAAAAAAGGACAAAGGGTGCTGCCGCTCCACCGTCGCTGTGTATGCGTGTTATCTTGCTTTCGCCCATCTTTTTGCTGGTTCGTATTATTGGTTCTTCTCTCTCCATTCTATGTGCTGTGCACCTGCCCTCTTCTATATATATTTTCACCCCCCTTCACCTGTGTTTACCTGAAAGAAGAAAACAACAGCATCACTTCTTTATTATTATTATTATGGCTTTATATCTTGTACCAGTTGTCGGCCTACCTTTGTACCTTTACCCTGTCCCGCTTGAGGGGGGGGGGGGAGGGGAGAGAGAGAACGACGCTGCTG